AAGCTGCTATTTCCTCCACTATGCTCAGTTATTGCTGCTTATTCAACTCCTCTGGGGTTTCTTCCTCCAGCAGATAGGAAATGAGGAAGAGCTGACATTCCTCTCTCTTTTCCCGTGAGCACACCTGCTGAACCTGCTAATTCCTTCCCTGTTTCCTGCATAGGATGAATCAAATGTCATGAGGCAGAATATCCACAGGACTCAAAGGAATGTGTTATTTGAGGATTAACATGCTTCATAAAAGCAGGAAATGGAGTTGCTTCCCAGCTCAAATGAGACATACAGTACTAATTTCCTAAGACAAACACCACTACATTTAAAATTGCCTTGTTAGAAAATGTTTAGTCACTCTGGAGGGAAGGAGGAAGTGTTTAAACAAGTCAATGACTTATTAAATAACTCAGTTGCCAGTCATTTTTGCTGCTCAGTATTGCTGTGAAGTTATTACCATCAGGAAAAATTAGTTAAAGGGCTTATGGAATAGAGACAAATCTATATTCTTAAAGCATCAATAGCTTCATGTTCTGCACTGGAGGAAGAAGTGAGAGGGGTTCTCCAGAGAATAGAACTGATTCTTTCTACCTTTTTCCCCCTTGAAAAACAGAGGGAGCTTCTATTTTTCCCTGGATGTTGGTGGAATTGTTGCTGTGTTGCATCAGCATCACTCTTATGTGTCACTTTTACTGCCTCTTCTACTGGAAGATAAGGTTGTAACATTTGTAAGAATTTCTTCCCCAAGTTTATCTGAACACTGATGTTGGTTAACACCTGAAGTAGCCCCCCAGGTTGGTAAATCCATTGTTCAATTTTAGCTCAATCTGGAAATGTGAATGAAATGAAATTTTAGTGAAGACAATGTGTTGCAGTTCTCTATTTCTCCTTCTTCCATTTCCTTTTTTTTTTTTTTTTTTCCTGGATGGCACTGTTTGGTTTTGAACTTGCCAGAATCAATCATTCCTGCCAGCTGCTTTCTGGAACCAGAGCACAACTTTGGATATGCCTGGAATGTGCAGCTCTCCTTGCCTGCTGAGACATTTGCCAGTTTAACATCTACCAGAGTCTGAAAATCTGACTTCTCCAGCCTGGAGCTGAACAAACTCCATGATTGAATGGGGATCTTTGTGTTGGAGTTCAACTGTTTGTTGCAGAGCAGGGGGACCTGTGGGTTTGGTCTGAAGCCTAAATCCACAAGGCCTGGACAAAGACACATGGCCAGTGAGATGCTCAGTTTATTTATACATAAATGCCTCCCCGCTGCAGCTGTAAAAAAATGGACAAAGCACTAATTCAGCCTCCTGCTTTTGGCACCTGGTGTCAAGTTGCAGATCCCCTGTTACCTTCTGGGTCCATCAGAAGTTGTCAAACAAAACAAAATGCTGGGAATTTCAGTGGGATTAATCTTTCAGCTTAAAAAAGCTGTCTGCAAAAGGATGGGTAGGGATATTCTGATACCTCATCTGGTGGAGTATAAATAGGTATAACAATGTCTTCAGATGTGGTGTAGGCCAGTTGTGATTTAAGTTTTAAATTGCAGTGGTTCAGTAACATCTACACTGCAAAACTTAGGCTGGTGGAGCAGAAATTATTTTTAGCTGGAATGGTTCTTCATCAAAAGCAACCCGAGCACACTTGTGACCTGAGGGGCCTTGTACATTCAATAAGTTGCTTTTTTGCTGTGTCCTTTATTCCTGTCTTATACTAAATAATATTAAGGATGATGTTACCATAAAAGATGCTGAACACCACTTCATTTGAACTGGTCAGAAGCTGTGACAGGACTAATGCTTTAATGTTTAAAGATTCCTGGGTTGGTGGCTTTTCCCTTACCTGTGTTATAACCCTTGGCAAGTCACTTAATCTGAGTATCAAGGCAGAACTTGCCATTCTCATGTGAATGATGCTTCAGTACATTTGAGTTTGAAACCCTGACAGAGGTGTTAATGTGCAGGTTGTACTTATTTTTTTAATGAAATAAGATGTGGTTAAAATATTTGCAGTGGTATTCTGCAGTGCTCCTAAAATAGTGAGCTGCATGTTTTAATTGGTGTTTAACTACAAATGAACACTTCTTAAATTTATAGGGGTAAGTTGATCTCCATAATTCTTCCAGTGCAAACTTAATTATTATTGGTTTTATTGAATTCATTTTCTGTTCTTACAGTAAAAACATGGCTTAAATGAACTCATGTAAGAATTGCTGTATCGATGTCCAGAACTATTATAAATATTGATGGCTCAGCTTGCTTTCATAGTTGTGACTGCTGTGTATCTTCCCCACAGACACAAATGCAAGGGGACAGCTCTGTTTATGATGTTTTTTAGTGACATCTGGCACTCTCACAGGAAGCCTGGTGCCTGCTTGTCTGTTTGGGAGAGCCACATTCATGACTCAAAGCCAAGCTGCAAAAGGGAACATTATTGTTAGTAACTGTAAAGGAATGAATGTGATCAGGAGTGAGGACTTGAAGTTAAAAGCAAGTGTTGATTTATTGAGTGTTGTTCCCTGTGAATAAAAGTCAAACTTGGCCAGCTGGTCAAAGTATGGAGCTGCTGTTTCCTCATGTGTTCTCATGCATAGGAAGCCTCCTGACCTTGGGCCTTGTTTCTGCAGCTGATCACTCATTTCAGCTCACAGAAGATTTTGCCCTGGGACAATGTGCTGTCTGACTTCTCACAAAGCAGAAAAGATCCCATCTTCCACAGAAATTCTACCAAAACCCACATAGGTTGTGCTCAATCTACGTTTTGAAGTCCTAAACTAGCTGGATTTTAGGGCAAGGACAGCTCAGTCCCAGAACACTGCAGGAGTTTCATATGAAACACAGAGCTCTGTGTGGATTTTTAGTCTGCATTTCCAGGACATTTGTATCATGGAATTACAGATTAATTAAATTAAGGATTCAGTAACATATAGATACAAACCAAATATGGACAAGATTGTAATGAACAAGCCATTTGTTTCTTGAGGTTTGCTTGAAGCTGACTGGAATGTTCTACACTTGAGATTTCCAGGCAGCAAGGTGTATGAATCATCAGAATATCAAATGCATCTTTGTAGCAGCAGTTACTGTTTCTTCAAGTTTTCAGAATAATAGATGTCTTCTGATTTTTCAGACCCCTTGCTTCCTCTACCATATACTGAGTGTCCTGCACTCCAGCTGATCATCAGAAGGAAATTGCTGTCACGTCTTTGCAGGTTCAGATTTAGCCCAGCACAACATTTCATACTCAGTCTCCAGGGCTGGAAGCCCACAATTAATGTTTCAGAGGAGCATGGGCTGCTTGGTTAGGGGTTGATCTTTACCTAAGATTAATAAAACTTCCCTTAAACTAGAGGGTGGACTATAAAGGCACAGTTAAGCCCAGAAAATTTAGATAGCTGGTATATGAAGTTAAAATGGCTTTTAGTGAGAGATTCTGGTGTGGGAGCAAAGCAAAGTGTCCTCGAGCAGAATTTCAGCTGGTGCTCTGTCCATGATCCAGGAAAACTCAGAACTGCCCACAGGGGTTGTCTGCTCCAGTGCCACACATTTCTCAAATTTCTCTTGTTACTTCAGGCTTAACCAAAATTCAGAGCTGGCATAAGGATGTTTTTCTGATTTTGTGGTATTTGCAAGTTAGCAGTGACTGAGCTGCTGCAGAAGAAACCAGTGACATCTGTGCTATTCCCTACAATGGGTGAATAATTCATAATTCCATATGCCAAGCATTTGGGAAGGCATTAATGCATCTTATGGGACAGTTGCCAGTACAGACAAGAAATTGTTAAATCTAAACTAGCAGAAATTACTATTCTTTTGCCACAAGAAGAAGCTTTAATCTTCCTGCTTCCATATGACTCTACATGAAGATAAAGCTTATTATTCATGGTCACAAACTGACTGCTTCCCTACATCAACTCAAAAACTAACTAAACACTCCTGAATTACTTTTTCTCATGTGTTTAGCTTTGAATTATAGTTTCATTTAGCAATGTCAAATGAATTGATTGTGGGCATTGCACTGATAAGTAGCAAAATAAGTCAGGAAAACTGAAGGAAGTTTAAAATATTTTAATTTTTTTAAAGAAAACAAAGAATAATTATTGTAAAGTAGGACAATTTATATTATGATTTTTATTTCCAAAGCTTGGATTGATATGATAGTTCATGGCACACAAAAGAAACAGAAAAGCAAATACAGAGAGGTTGACACGTTCAGCAATCATCGACCTCATGGATTATGATTTTTGCACCAAACACTGATTTAGAAAATCTGATGCACTGCAGCCATTGGACATGCAAAGCCTTTGCTCTGAGCTCTGTGCATTCAGGTCCTGCTGCACTAAAAATGCCACAGAAAAGCTGCATTATAGCTCAGTGCCACATTCTGACCTGGCGTTGCACACGTTGTCAAACAAACCGAGGGCACACTTAGAAAACGAGACACTCAGAAAGAAAAAGTTTGTATACACTGATTCAAAAGCTTCTACCTGTCAGCTCCAAAGCTGCTGAGTAACTGGTTAAAGTGACCCATCAAAAGTGGGTATTTTCCAAGCACCCCTTAATTCAGGATGTTTATTTCAATCCCTGCATGTCTCTGCAAGAAGAGAAGGCAGGAAATTCCTGATGCAATAGTCAGCAGAGCAAGCTTTCAGTTGGTAGGTCAGTTCCAGCCAGGCCTACCCTATTTTGCCACAGAATAACATAAGTATCATGAGCAGAAAATCTGTATCAATAGTGGAAAGATTTTAGCTTCCAATATCCTGTATTTTTTGGATATTTAATTTGTAAATAACTGGTTCTCTCTGAAGCTAATTCCTCCTTTTTGATACATCACGTGGTAGATGAACATGCCACAAGCACTTAACCAGTCAAAAACACTTAAAAGATTCTGAATATGTTCTGGATATGTTTGTTTTTTTTAAAGAAATCCATAAAATGTAATGTGACATAATCTTTGGTTGCATTTGAAAACCAAGCATATATTACCTGTAAATCACATTTCAGGTGTACATCTGTTTGCTGCAGGGTTTTTTCTTACTGCAAAATCTTTTTTTCTTCTGGTAAAATCCTGGGTAGTAGAAATGCTATGGAATGTTCCATACTCTGGAATCAGGGAGAGTGGGGGTGGTCCTTAGAGCTGTGTGGGATCCCCATAGATCTGGAATGCTTTGACCGTATTTTCCATGGATCATCTTCTCACACAAATGCAGGAATAGTCTTTAGTTCTTATAAAATAAGAAGCACTTGTATTTTCTGGCATAGAATGACATGGCTGCTTGTTTCAACTGTTTTCAGGGCCTGGAAAACAACAAGCAGACATTTATTGCTCATCCTTACCCAAATGTTAGACACCTGATCTCTTTTCCTCCCTCTCTATCTTTCCTATCACCACTTTATTTCTCTTCCCAGGTCCTGTTTTCCTTTCTCCTAATTCTGGTGCACAGGATCTGTTTAAATGTCCTGGGGTTTTCTTAGTCCTTTGGAGTTTGTAAAGAACTTCAGATTTGCATGGCACCAAAGAATAAGGCAGAGATCATTCCCAATGTTCAGCTGCTTTCCAGTACTTGTAGGACTTGGTCCTCTCATAATTCCTAGATAATTTTACCTCTGTGCAGGAGAGTAATTCCAAACCCCATGCACTTGATATTATAACAATATCTGGCAATTTTTTTTTCTGATTTCTGTGGGTTTAGACCCCCCACATTGTGATGCTGATTTTGATGCAATGTGTAACATCAAAATAGATTGTTTAGTCAAAATAGGAACAGCAGACATTTCCCAGGTGATTCCTGTGACCCTGCTCAGAGGATGGGGCTTGTTGGAAAAGCCTGATTAGCAATTTACTTACGAGTACCTGCCTGACATCTTCCTTACGACAGCAATCACTATTCCTGCAAGGATTCCAACTGCAACCACAATTCCAATGATTATTCCAACCAGTGCAATTGTTTCCAGGCCACCTGAAAGAAGAAGTTGGGAATGTCAGTGTGTTTCTCAGGGAGACCATTGGTAAGAGGGACTGATACAGCACCGATGCTGTTCTGCTGCATCCCACTCCTCAGGGAAATTCCCTTCTGTCTTGTGAGCTCTCAAGGAGGTTTGGGAAGTTCAGCAGCCTGAAAACGTGCCTTTGGGCTGGAGGTTTGGGAAGTTCAGCAGCCTGAAAATATGCCCTTGGGCTGGAGGGCTCCATAAGGGTGTGGACATGGAGACAGTGATCAGGTGAACCAGGGGAGGCAGTTCAGGGACAGATTGGGCACAGCCAGTGGCTGCTGGAAGGGAATTCCCTGGCAATTTTGTTCCCCCTTGTCTTTTGAAGCAAATCTTCTGTTTAATACCTTTTTCAGTTTTCTCTGGTTCCCCACTCGCTTCACCTGTAAAGCCAGAAGGACAATAATTACTCACTCTGCTTTGTACAGAGTTTTTCAGTTCAATTTGTAATGCTATATGCAGGAAAACTTTTATCAACTATGTCACAATGGTTTGAGGTTGTCCTTTTGATAGGAAGGGAGCAAATTAAAAGTCTGGGAGAGTGAATACAAAAAAACTCCTAAGTAATAGAAATTAAAACCTAGGGGACTGATTTATCTGATATATACTAGTGAAACTTGTGTGATCACATTAAGATCAATAAGGTGTTTATACCTGGTATGAAATAATTATGATTAAGACAGAAATCAGATTTTAGTTGTCTGAGACTGGCGTATGCTGATAAAATTTCACCTTGCTCTGAGTGTATTTGCTGAACTATTCTGTGTCTATTTATAAAGAGAACACCTTAAACTTGGTATTGGAATTTTCCAGATATTATTTAGTAGATGGCAGTAGAACTTTGATGTAGAAAAACAGAAATGAAGAGGTTTTTTACCATCGACACTCTCTGTGTTAACTCCATAACCAGTAGAATTGTCACCGTCTCCATCCGGGACAAAAGCACTTTCTGTGGTCATCAGGTGTCCAAACTGCAAGAGATTTGTTACATTGTGTAGCCTGGTGGGCAACTACAAGAATTGGGGGGAAAAGAGGGAAAAGAAAACCTCAGTACACTCAGTCTGCATGTATGAAGGTAGCATTTAAATTCCCTGCTCATCCCCATCTCGGGGGTGCTTTTTGAGCTGTCCCCCATCACCTTTGACTCGTGTACAGTGCCCAAAACAAACCAAAGGAGCTGATTGATTTTCCCAGCTGGAGGCTTTTCTACACGAGATGACTTCTCAGCAGGACTGCAAAAAGAGACTGCAGAATATTGCAGCCCTGCCTTTTTTCAGTGTTTTGTTTTTGGTTTTGTTTTTTTTACACTGGTTTGTCAGTTTGGTTTCACTGAAGCTGAGTGAGAGACACTGAGCTGGAAGAGGCAGCGAGTGGCAGTGAACAGGCAGGTAGCAGAAAGGAACCTTTACTTGGCATTTTCTACTCACCAGGGTTGGCAGGGCTTCAAACTCTGTGTCATTTCTGTCTCGGAAATCAATCGTTGCACTTTCTTCTCCTTCTAGAACTGAGCTTGCTGAATAAAATTGTAGAAAACGAGTCAGGATTTTACTTTTTAGTCACCTGTTCTGGCTACTTTGACATGAAAACTTTGTTGAACACGAGCTCTGTGCACTGTTCTGTGTCCCTGCCCCTGTGCACTTTGGTTTGTGAAATTATTTGGAATAAACATGAATTCTGCTTTACTCTTGCCCAAAGCAGTAGGACAAAGAGCTTAAGTACCATCATTTAACCCTGGCAAAACCTTAAGACATATTGGTTACGAACATTTTGTCCAAGAAATTATTTCTTTTTTTAAGGAAAGGTTCCCTCTCCCCCCAGAGTGGATGTGATGCCTCCAGATTTCCAGCTTATGCACTGGGATAAATTACTTCAAACATCTTCCATTTTCTAAAATAATAAGAGCTTTCTCCCAGCTTTCAGCTCAGTCTCAGCTGCAACCTTTATTTTTAGAACTGTCATCAATGTTTATGGGTGTAGCTATAGTTTGAAAATATTCCTACACAAATCTGCCCTGAGGTTTATCCAACGTTGCAAATGCTTAGCTGCCATAATTTGATTTTCTTTTAGGCACCAATGTAAGGTCTTCCTTTTTTTACTTTAGACCTCTGTGTCATCTGTGCTCTTTGGTGTAGTGGACATTTCCCTTTTGGCCCACATAATGCTGTTTATTTACAAATACAGCCAGACTTCATTCAGAGACAAAACAAGCTGGAACAAGGTAGAACACAAAAAACACGACCCGGTGAAGACACTAGCAAGAATATGTTGAAAACATAAATGTCATTTGATTAAGTTTCTTGCTGATTCATAAACCTCACCCTACATTAACATCCTTCTGTTTATCTCAGCAATCAGACCAAAAGAAGGACAGCTATTCACAGGAGTTCTTTTTAAAGCTGAGAATTACTGTCCCACTGGAATATTTTATGGAAATGTTCACAACCTGTTTGGTTTTGTTGAATTAACACTGTTTCTACTAATTTCACTTTTTATGTAGTCACTTAAAAATATTCCCATCTCCTCTGCATATGAAGTTAGGCTATATCTGAATTGTTTGACTAGGTCCAAATACTTCTTATAAAAGAATTTACTACTCCTAAGTGCACCCTACCTGTGTTGTGTGTGATACAGAGGCAAGAAAACAGCTTTTGTTCTGTGACTGAAATGAGTAAGCATAGGCATTTTGCTTGATATCAGTAAAAACTGAAAAAAAACCATAGAATCACTTTGGATCAGCTGTGCAGATATCACTTGTAAATTATTGTTCTTTAATTGTGAGTTCCATTTCACTTTTGTTCATTTGTAACTGCCCCTTTTAAAATAAAAATGTTATTTCACATTAAAAAAACCAGTATTTAATTTTGAAATCAGTAAAAAAATGCACTGGCAGCTTAAAGGATGAATGGGTTGGGATTGAGAAAAAAAATCTGGTTTTGCTCAAAACTCTCATTTGAATTCTACTGGAAACCTGCAAATATTTTTCCTTTGCTCCCAAAACTGTTTTCTGAACCAAACTAGAAAATTTTTATCCATCTCCACCAATGTAAGACTGAGAGCTTTGTCCCATTGCCAGGAGACCAAACACTGAACTAAACTTAGATTTCTAATTCCATGTTTACTCAGGTAAACAGAATTTTATATTTTTGTACCTTTATAAGCCTGAACACAGATACACTTTCTATCTCAGAGCCAAAAGGGTGTGCAGGGAGTACTTTGGGCAGTAGCAGATGAAGAAAGTATATTCATGTGATGCCAACATGAGGCCTAATATATGTTTCTCTCCTGGTATAATTAGAGGCTAATTAAGCCAGTCAGTGTCCCAAAAATCACCGAAAATCCTCAGCAAGACTAGAACAGGCCAGGGTAAATCAGAGTTCCAAGTTAAAAATGGCAAAAATAATGTTTTGGTCATTTTTTTTTATTTAAATACCCCATGTATTGTTGAGGAAGCACAAAAGGGGCTTGACTTTTAGTTGTATATTTAGACACTTTCTAAATATCAGTGTGATTTAAGATATAGCACTACTTATAATACTTATTTTTTGCTTATAAAGTAATGACTTTAGAGTGTAATAGTGGATGTAAAATATTGGCCATGTAAATGCTAAGTTTAAGGGAAAAATAGCAGTAGAACTCACCAATGTGAATAGTGTATGGATCAGTTTACCTTGTAATCCCAGTCAGAAGTGAAAAAAACATCCTTTATTTGCTAGTTGAAAAATAAGCACAGATGGAGAAAACCAATTACCAGAGGAAAATCCCCCAGCAGAAAGTGAAATATATTTTGCAGGTTAACAACAAGCAGCTTATTGGGAGAAGCTGCTTATGCTGCTGGCATGGCCCTGAAAAACTGCCTGACAGTGAAGGCAGCAAAGGAAACAGTGTCACACAGCAAAGGTGGGCAGAAACAGTGCCTGTCACAAGGAAATATAAAATAATTAGTCTTGGTGTGGTACTTCTTGGGATTCGTGGCCGTGAGTGACGTGTGGAAAACCTATTTCAGTGCCTTTGCCCTCTCAGTGACTGGCAAAAGGAGGTGGCCCAGATTAATCTTGCCTAATTTTAGGTTCTTAATAAAGGCACCTAAATAAAGTGTCTGCTTGCCCTTATCTTCCTTCGCAGTCTGTGGGGAAAGATAAATACTTGGAGGAGGTAACTCAGCTCACCTGAGATTTGGGTCAGCCTTGGCAGTGCTGCCTTTCCTTAACTGGACAGGGAAGCTGGAGTGTGGCTCCTCTGAACTGCCCCAGCTCACATCAAACTGATTTCTGCCATTCTGAAGGTCTTGACTCAGTCCTATCCCACCTGTATAACCCTGTTTTCAAGCTGAGGTCCTGTATTTGCTGGAGAATAATCCCTGGAGTCTTTCCAGGTTCGTTTTGGGTGGACAGTGGAGGTGGCTGGGTGGTGGTTAAACAGACACTACTGAATTACTGCCCAAAGAAAGGCTGGGAGGGAATTTGTTATCAGTGTAGTGCACGGGTGGGAAGGATAATTGGATATTGGACAGCTTTGTCAGGGAAAGTCATACAGAAGTTAAATATTTAAATAAAATTGAGAGAAACTGTTGGGCTTGAAGGTTCTTTCCCCGTTCCCAGTACGAGCCCTGCACCACTGACATCAAAGGGAATGCAAATGGGATGTAAAGGGGGGGTGTGCTCCTGTCAGTCCTTGGTTCCATCTGATGTGGGCCAACTGTAGCAAGAGTCAGGGTTAAGCAGGGCTTCTGCATGTGTTCCTAATATTATCTTCGAGGAGGTTGTAAATAAAAACATTGCCTCACAGTGCTGGGGTTGTCTCCAAGGAGCACCAGGGCCTCCTCTGTTTGCAGCTCTGAGCTGCTGTGCCTGGGAATTAATCACTGCACCCCTTCCTGCCAGAGTTCCAGCTGGGAGCCTTTCAGTTCAAAGCCCCCAGCTGCTCTCAGGCTGCACACCAGGAGAAAATGTGCTGTCTCTAAAAGTTCAATACTGCTTTGAAACCCTCCTGTGCTTAAGCATCCCATGACCCACTTAGGGGAAGATGAGCTCACTCCTTACGTGCCCCGAGTGACAGTTCACTGGGAAAACCTCTCCGGGAGGCTTTCAAAGCACGGTTGTGTTGGAAAGGAGAGGGAGTTGGAAAACTGTTGTTCATTAGCATTGCTTTCAGGTATCTCCAAAACCAACAAAGATACTTCTGAAGATGAAAAATGTTGTAGGATCTTGTTTCTCTCCTGGTATAAAGCTGAATAAACCCAAACACTGGTGGGCAAAGGCAGTTGTAGTAAGCCTGTAGTTTAGCTTAGTCCTTGGAATAGGAAGCCCTCCAAATAGAGAGTTTCCATCTCTGATAAGAGACCAGGAGATAAAAATGGCAAACCTTAAAGGATTCCCTCTAGCAAGAACTGAAATAATCTTTTTCTTGTTGCCTTCTGGTTCTCATAAAAAAGGAAACCAGCTCCAGTTATTTGTAACAGCTAAAAAAGGAAACTAGCAGGTTAACTGTCAAACAAAAGCTCTGATCTTAAAATTCAAGTTTATTTTTATCTGTGTCTTATCAACATCATGTTTTATCCCATCCAGCTGGGCTAAATAGGTACTTTGGAGGATGTTGCTCTAGAAAAGCAAGGGAAAGAATTTAGCAGGATGGGTCACTTGGGATGTGTCACTCTCCTGCTGGAGATGAACTGAGCAAACATCTGGAGCTGACTGAGGGCTTTCAGGATCTGCTTCCGGAGCTGTTACAGCCCAAGTGGTGTTGTTTGAAGGGCTGGGTATGGATTTGTGTGTTATCCATCCTGTTTTGGCTGTATCTGACTCAGCATTTATGTCCTGATACAGGAATTCCCGTTCTGAGGGAGCATTCTTCACTCAGAGACCTTAATATGATTGTGGGCAAACTGAGTCTTAGTCTGTGTCTCATTTCTGGAATTAGTTCAGTAGTAGTTCAGTGAAAACTTTTATTCCTGGTGGTGGAGGTTTAACAAAAATATGTGATTTGTAAGGAATCTGCCTTTTAAATACAGTAGCTCTGTAATTTTCAAATTGATTTTTTTGTTTTGTTTGTTTGTTTTGTTTGTTTTTTGTTATTTGGCTTCATCCTCCATTTAAGTGTATTCCAGAATCCAAAATCTACATCATCAGCTGAATTTTGTCTGAAAATAGTTTTCCACTATTTTTCTATTTTTGGATATTTGGGAAAAAAAGCATACAGGTGTCTCTTTTGTTGTGAAATGCTTCAACAGCACCAGATCCAGGCTACAAAATCTTTTTGACTTTGAAAATATGAGGTTATAAGAAGAATATCAGAAGAATATAACATAGTGGAAGAATATAACATATAAGAAGAATATAACATAGTGGATTCTGGGATTTGTCTTTTGATGTTTGAACCTTTGGACAGTTAAAATTTGCAGACTTTAGAAAGGCAGGGAAGTTTGTTAATGAGAACTGAAATTCTCATTTGTACCTCATCTGTATCCTGCAAAACTATATCTGCAGTATCCTGAGAGCTTTGGCCTGTTTGGGGCCT